GGAGACGAGCATAGTCGCTCGCCAAATCAGAGCCACCTACGGGCACTCCTCGGGCCCGAGACTTGAGCTAAATTCATACAAGCATGTGAGTTCATACAAGGGCAGAAAATCCAAAATAAATAACAAGGTATAAACGCCCGAAGGCAACAAAGCAATATTAAACCGACCAAGAAGGCCGGCGATGTTCAAAACATACAATGAACGGGCACGCAGGCCCAAAGAATACAAATTCAAATATCAAGGGCACGCAGGCCCGCTATCCAAAGAATACAAATATCAAACTTCCACATTATCGTCATTGTCAACGCTGGGAGAGTCGGGCGGAGGAATGATCGCGCCACCTACAACCCGGTGGGTGTGCCCGATGCCCTCGGTGACCAGGCCGGGATTTAGCAATGAGAGCTGGTCGACTGCAGAATTGAACCCGTCTTCCAGAGCACCGACTGCGTCCGCCTCGAGGAGCCGGATATGGGCAATAAGCTCAGCCCGACTCTTCAAAATCACTAGGTCCTCGGGCTCATCTTCGGCAGGTTGCTGAACGGCATTCAGTTCTTCAACCTGTTTACCCAGGCGCTCGACTTCAGCAGCCAAACGATCCCTGTCGGTCCGGAGCAACTCCCCTTCCTCAGTCAACCTCCCCGACTTCTCCTTTTCCAAGGTCAGCATCTCCCTCTCAGCATCAAGTATCGCGGTCTGCTCTTGGAACATCCCCTCGGAGCGTTCCAGAGCGACCTTCAACTTCCGCGAGCTCGCAGTCAAGGCCGCCTTCTCCTGCTCGAGCTCTTCAACACGAGCAGCATCCCCTGCATCCTCAGATAACACCAGAGCCATTTCGGCCATTTTAACCAGCCCGTCCACGCTGGCGACCAGCCGCGACTTCCTCTCCTCTTTAGTCATCCTCTTTATGGCCTCGGCTTCATGAGCGACCACGGTCGGAGGGAACCGCTCGAAAAAGCCCTCCTCCTCGAAGCAAGGGGGGAAGGCAAAGGATTGAACAGCACCGGCATCTTCCCCGACAGTCGAACCGCCTTCCACGCGGGTCCTTTTCCTCTGCGTCAAAACGGCGCTGGCGTCAATCTCCTCGACCTCTGGATCTGACGCTGCTCCCGAGCTCGACGTCGAATCCACCCTCACCGGCTGAGGAACGTTCATGCTGGGCGGTGGTCCCATTCTCGTCGTTTGCGGGGGCTGCACGACCCTCTTGCCTCGCCTCTGGCCGGTTGACAATTTCAGGAGCCTTTCATGTCGGCTGGCCATCGTACCTGCACGAAGTAAAGGAAAAGTCAGTATCGAGCAAACCGCATAAAGAAATGACGAATAAAGAATTTCAAAACAAACAACCTAACAGGCGGGCTGCCTGCCTATATGTCGAACATTCCACCAGCCCCTTGGTGTCGATCGGGCGAGCCTCGAATGTTGGGTAACCGTCCTTGTCGAGGATATCATTCCCTTCCCGTGTAACCCACTGGGCGGGATGAAAACTGTCGACAAAGTTGCAGAGAGCCTCATACGCCCGCTGATCCTCCGTGCACATGTCCCCGACTGCGGTATGGAAATAACCTGTTCCATGCTCGAAGTGTCCGGACATCCAGTACACCGGGAACTTAGCCCGACGTCCTAACACGGGGCTCCCGTCGTCGGCCAACATTGCTTCCCCGTCATCATCGCTGACCGGCCCTTCCTCCTCGAAGAGGGAATCTACAGCAGAGTCGGTAGTGGGGCGTACCACATACCACTTATCCTTGAACCCCCTCACAGAGTCCATGTACATCCTAAACAGTCTCCTCGACTGCTTCAGGGACACCCAGCTGTGCTTCCCTCCTCGGGACTGACGCTGTAGGTGGAAGACCCGAAAGAAGAGAGGGATGGTCGCCCCTATCCTTAAGTAGCGACACGTCAGCTCAAACGCCCGGATGAAGGCGAGAGAGTTTGGGTGTAGCTGGGACGGGGCCAGCTCCAAATGCGTAAAGACCCCGGTCTCAAAGTCTGTGAACGGCAGCCGCATCCCCAAGTCTTTAAACGCGATCTCGTACATCGCAAAGCTGTAGTCCGGATACATTGAACAAATTCTGGCATTGGTCGACGGCAGCATGACCACGAAATTCTGCTGGAAGTCGGGCTGGTCCTGCCCCTCTTCGATAGCGGTGAATGGATGTCGGTCATCCCGACTGTATATCGACGCCGTCCCCCGAGGCTCGGCGCCCACCCATTCCAGCGATGGGTCGGTCACGGTGTCTATAAGGTTGGCCGACTCGTCGGCACTTGGTTCTTCGCTGTCACGACGACCGGAGGAGCTCGGCTCATCCGCCATGGTTACCTGCAGAGCACGGGAAACCAATCAGATTGAGCATGAAGTCCTATGCTCGACATAATCATGTCGTCCATACACTACTACACAAATCCATTTTCACAAGTGGATGCCTCCCCGACTCTCCTGAATCCAGTGTTCTTCCTCAAACCAACTGCGCGGCCACTCTTCAAGCATGTCGACCCGAGGTATGAACATGGCGAGCCGCATTATGAAGCCCACGGCCACGACCATAAACATACCGGGCACCGTCATGAATCAGGCGCCCAGGATCATGAAGACCCCGGGCAGCTCTGAAGTTTTTCACCTAAAACTATGAATGTGTCGGCCACAAGTATGCGTTTGCCGGCCCTAGACATGAATCTGTCGGGCAAAACGCAAGTTTACCGGGCTAACCCAACATTAACGGTCCTAAAGCATCTACAATTTCCAAGAATCATGCATTCTAAAACAGAAAAATGAAGAAAATGGATCACTTACTTGGATCAAAGTTGGAATTTGGCTAAGAAATGAAGAATCTGAGACGGGAAGTCACGACTGGAGAGAGTGTTGAGAGCGGCAACGAAGAGAGCACGGAGAACGGAAAACGTATTATGGGGCCCAAGGACCCTATTTATAGTGATGACGTGGAATACCAAACGTCACCTCGTTCTGCCACGGACTCCATCTCCTCGACGCACCGCTCCCAACGCAATGATGGCCCTACCCCCCTAGGGTGGCGGCACAACTCCCGAAAGATGCCTCGTGTGCTCGACTGACGCGCCCGGTACGGATCCTCCACGCATCCACCACCGAGGACGTCTCCGAGCACGGCACGAGGAGACCCCTCGAGGGTCCACGCCTCCATCCCGGGCACGAGACCTCAGCAACGGAACAACCTTGTTTCAAGTCATGGCTCCTCGCAAAGGAACCACGACTTGGGGTGCTCCTGTTCTGGACTGGGCCCGACAGGCCCAAAAGCATTACTAAGGCCCAGTCCAAAGGGACTCACTAAGGACCACACTGGGCAAAGGGGGTCACGTCCATGCCCGACACCCTGATGTCCACCTCGACATCTCGGTGTCCAGCCCCACGATGAAGTCATGCTCGACAGCCTGCCGTCCAGCTCTATGTCCTGGCTTCCAGCTCGACACTCGTTGTCCAGCTCGAGGTCTTGGCGTCGAGCTCGGAACCGTGCTGCGCAGCTCGACATGGTCTCGAGCTAACTTGCTAGGGCAGACTTAGTCCTCCATTGCCCCAACGATACTCCGGAAAGACCGCGTCTCCGTCCGCCCGCACTTCATGCAGCATATCCAGGAAGGAGACCACGTGCTGGTCCCCACTACCCACGTAGAGCCTGGCAGTTCCTCCATTGGGCCAAATCCGCCCGGCCCAATGAAGGAACCTTGGCCCAGCGCTGGGGGCTATAAATACCCTCTGCTTCCAGAGGGTCAGGTATTGATCATTCTAACCTCAACTCTATTATCTGCTAGTACTCCCACTGACTTTAGCATCGGAGTGCCTTGCAGGTACCCCCTCCTCGTTCAAAAAGCCTTCAGCTCGGAGTAAGCCGTGACGGTCCAAACCTTCTGATCAGGTCAGATCAATTCTAAAGTCCAATATATTCCTCCTTCCTAAATTCCATGCTATGCTAAATCTCCAAATGGACCAGCTGTTGTATTTACCACATAACTGCAAACATGCATCAAAATACCAGAACAAATTTAGCATACTTTTTGTATCATTAGTACATACAACATAGATAAGTCCAGCCGACCCATGCTATAAAAAAAACCATACACATAAAAATGCAAAGTTTCAGATCACCACATAGTAAAGTGCATGGCAGCTCAGGACAGACCATGTATTCATCAATCCAAACATAACCATGACCAAAGGCCTTTGTCAAACTCTTCTCAACATGAAACCGTGCCATGCACCAGTCCTAATAAAACCATAACAGAAAAATACATAGACAAAATAAATCAGAAAATCCAGAGAATAAAGAGGATAATATAGCTTAACCCATTTTTCGAATTGCAAGCTCATAACTGAACAAATCAGGGCGCTCCAATTCTGGTAACAATCTTTTGAGATCAACAACTAAGATTCAATCTAACGTAACCAAATTTCCATACACTTAACAGAAAGATAAAAGAGAAATCACTTTGCATCGATATTCATTCTTCATAATCGCTGAAGAATCTCCATAAAATCCTCTCAAATTTTTCTACTTCATCATCACCATTCTTCAATCATTGAAGAATCAATGAAAAAAAACTCAGAAAATTTCTCTCTCTCTGAAACTTCCTTCAATTTTCTCTGTGCAAACTTTCAATAGCATTCATCTTCATCATCACTACAGCCTCTATTCAATCTCCTGCATCGTTCTTCATCAACCTTTCTCAACAATCATCATCATCAACCTTTCTCGACAATCATCATCATCAAACTTTATAACAGCTTATATCATCATCATTACTGTAACATCTTCTGCATTAAAATGCAATTGCAATATCTAAATCGCAAATTTCATCAACACAACTCAAAAAGTGCAGATAGAAAGAGAAGAAGCATAATCAAGAACGGAAGTATATGCATACCTAAATCGCTGTTCTCTGGTTTTCTCTTCGATTTCATCAAAACATGAAGAACCACTGGATTTCTCCGGTAGGTAAGCCTTCAACTCATTTATCGTTTCCGTGCCTCTGTGTCATGAATCAATGGCCTGTATGTTGAGTTTTGTTTGAATCGATGCGCGACGAATTAAATCGGAGATGTTGTTGATGCATCCGAGATGACAAAAATGAGACGAAGAAGGTTGAGACGGAGATCGTGCAATGAATTTGAAAATGAAGATGAGACGACGATGATGAAGCTTGGATCGGAGAAGGTTGGAAATCACGAAACAAACGAAACCGCAGAGAGGATTGAGACGGAGAGAGAGACGAGTGGTAGCGATGATTCGCGGCGGCCAAGGCTTTTCAGCGGCGGGAAGTGGTGATGCGCCATTCACAGAGAGAGAAGAAGAGGTCTGTTGAGAAGAAGAACCGTCACCCCTAAAACTCATTCCTAATCCCTCTTTCCATTTGTTCTTTTCTTTTAATTTTTTTTAATTCAATAGATAATATATTTATAATAAAAAAAAAACTGAATAAATAATTTGAGGGTGGATTAGTGTTATTGGAAATAAATGGACCGAATTGTCCTGTTGGGCTTGGCCCATAGTCATTGTTTTTTGGAATTGATTTGCTTATACAACAAACAAAAAAAATTTCTATTACTGGATCGAGCAAATTTCCCTCCTAGGCCCGTTTCCTTTTTATTTTTTGAAGCTTGCTATTGTCATATAAAAAACATCTTATTGGATCCTGATTTGGGTGGGCCTAACACCTTTGTTATTTAATCAAACGCCCAGTGTCAACTTAACACCCCGTGATCCTCCTATTTTTCTATATCTTTTTTATGATTAAAAATTACAAAATCAATAAAAATTTGGTAGATTTTTTTATTTGATTTTAGGAAATAATTCTTGATTATCCGATTACTCGAGACTTGTGATTCATTTTTGCTTGTCGAGATTTGAGTCTTATACAGGTTTATTGCGTGACATGTGGATATGCTTAAGTTTCTGATTGTGATTTATTTTCACATTGATGATGCTTCGACGCTTATTTCGAGCATTTGATTTATGACTCTTTTCTTTGGCTTGGTGAAGCTCACTTGAAGTTTTCCGGGTTTCTATGTTTTGCTTGCTTTGTTACAAACTCTTGTTCGTTTGGTATCATTTTGATTCTGGTTTATCTTTCCGCATTTTATTGCTTTCTAGAGATCATGAGAAGTATGATAATAAAGAGCGTACGCTCGAAGTCGCTGTTTAAAGACTAGTAGCAGGCATTCTACACTTATTTGCTACTTGTGCTTGTGTTTGCCTCATTTATTGACGATCGATGATGTCACTCAATTGAGATGACGACTTAGATCTTTGCATGCTCCTCATAAGATTTCATGGCTTATTTCTTTTAACGATCAATGATGTCACTCAATTAGAATTGAGATAACGACTTCGATCTTTGCATGCTCCCCTTAGGATTTTATCGTTTTCCTTTGTTAACGATTGATAATGTCACTCAATTAGAATTGAGATAACGAATTCGGTCTCATTGCGTGTTCCTTATAAGATAATTATCATCGCCCTTAGGTTTTTGGTATGCTAACTTAGTTAGGACTTCCCTTTTATCCTCGGCCTTAAGATCAATCATTGTATGATAATATTATGGATAGATTTAGGATAATCTCCCGTAGATGTTTTTTGTTTTCTTTTTGCATCATTGCATTAAAACTAAAACTTTCATTTTCTTGGCCAATGCATAAAACATATAAAAACTTTCAAATCTTTCTTTAAGGTAAAAAAAACATCAACCAATGCAAACCTTTTTTTCGCCTTCAGGGTTTTATTTTAAACTTTCAAAAGAACATGTTAATTCATTTATGTGATGACGCGTGAATCTCCAAAGGCCGAGTTACGGTAGAAGGCAAAATTAATATTGTTCATTAAAAAACACAAAACAAATCAAAACATGTGAGCCAAACTATGGTGCTCTGATTCCTTAAAAGCGATACATAGGCATCTGGTCACGGGGCTCAGCCGAACGAAACTTTGTAAATATTTCCTTCTTTTCCCCGTGTTTTCTTTTGCATGCATTCCCTCTTTGCATTTTCTTTTTTAGCTCGTAAGCCTTAGAATTGAACATACCCTTTGATTATAATAACAAGAGTGGATACCGTAGAGTACTATAAGCATATGGGGTGCTAATACCTTCACCTCGCGTAACATACTCCCTTACCCGATCTCTCGGTTGTTTAATCATGATTTCAACCTTCTCAGTTTTAGTCGATATTTACCTTTCCCTTCCCGTGGGATAAAAAACGTTCGATGGCGACTTCATTGATTTCATCTCGATGATTTATTCAACTGATTCTTTCACATACTACCATTCATATTAGAAAGTTTTTATTCCAACTTAGTAGCACATTCAAGCGAAATAAATGAATGAGTAGTACCAATATCAATAATAACAACCAATTCAAGATTGTTAATAAAGCAAGTACCTCGAATCAAGTTGTCCTTCTTAGGTTCCTCTGATCTACTCAGGGCAAACACTCTACCATTGGTCTGAGCAGTAGCATCCTTCCTTGGTTTCTGACACTGAGTACTAATATGACCCTGCTCTTCACAATTAAAACAAGTTGGACCATCGTTCTTGACTTCAGGAGCACGATGACCGGACTTACCATACTTGCAGCATCTTAGCACCTTATTCTCACATTTATTGGATTAGTGACCTTGTTTACCATATCTATATCACTTGATAAAAGCGGGAGCTCCTCCCCCACTTGTCTTCTTCCCATCATAAGCCTTACGTTTCCCTTTATCAGCTAGGCCATCATAAGGCTTCTTACGATCTTGATATTGCCTTTCTATTTTCTCATTTAAACTCTTATAGTGAGCTAAATGAGCTTTGTTATCCTCTTCATAGATTCAGCAGTTGTCCACCAACTCTGAAAAAACACAGATATGCTGATACCCAATCACCCACTTGATCTCCGAACATAAACCATTTTCAAACTTGATACACTTTGATAACTCAATAGTTGCTTCACTGTAATGTGGATAAAACTTCGCTAGTTGCACAAAGTTTGAAGCATACTTCGTCACTGTCAAACTTCCTTGTTTCAGCTCTAGAAACTTAATCTCTTTATTCTCGCGCACATGCTCAGGAAAATGCTTCCTCAGAAATTCCCTGTTGAACACAACCAAAGTAATCACTTCACCTAGCAATCTCAGTCTCTAACGCATACCAACCCACCAATCATCAGCTTCCTCCACTAATTTATGCGTACCAAACCGCACCTTCTGCACCTATGAGCAATTAATGACTCGACAGATTCTTTCAATCTCCTTAAGACAAACTTGTGCCCCATCAGGATCGAACCACCCTTGAAAGCAGGCGGATAATTCCTCTAGAACATCTCTAAAACACGAGATCCATTATTAGGCTGGTGTTGCACAGCTTGAGTAACAACCTGCAAAGCAGCAGCAAGTGCATCATCATTCCTTCCAGCCATTTCTTTATTTCACATAAATAACGGTCACAATGGTTAGAATTTATCTCGATAGTATTCTACTATCACACACTACAGACTCAATAACTTTGTCGGGCAGACTGGCCTACTTTGATACCACTAATGTAACACCCTTCTAAACCCCAAGGAATATTCACAATTATTCTAATAAATAAATCTGAGTATATCACCAAACAAGGGTGTCACATCTTCATATAAAACCTCACAACAATACATCCTACTCCGTAACACGGGTTTTTAAAATATTTAACAAGATAGAATCAACATTTAGTTCTTCGAATCATGGCAGCGAAAATCATAGTTCAAGAAACTTCATTATAATACTTTATAAAAATTAGCCATACTTTATAACTCATGCTTATAATTCAAAGCATCTCGAGTACCATGTAGGGTGACTCAATATCTTAAAACAAAACAAAGAACATAAGTTCAAATCATTCGATCCCAACCCCGATGTTACATATCAGAGCAAGACTCTCTGTATTCAACAAAAGATAATAAACACACTTTGAAGCTATCCTCTAATGCTTTTACGGACTATTCTCGGTCACCTGCGCATTACCCACATGGAGGAAACATTCAAACAAAAAGGGTGAGTAAATCATAACCTTTATATAAGACATAAGTAATAGACATGGTAAATATGCACATAAGCAAGGCATCACACATCATCATACCGTCCTGTTATACTCACACCTTCTCCACTTCATAAATACACGAACACATATCATCATACACAATGTATCATCAAGCATCACAAATAAATCATTATGCAATGTCACATAAAATGTAATGCAAACTCATAGACTCATACATGCGGTACCAAAACTTCACTGATGACTTAGTCATTGTTATCTCCAAAGATCCCCACCATAGGATCGATTCCCTCTTGGAACCAGAGAACTTAACTATTGCACCCAATCCATACTATTGGGTTGTTTCCTGCACTGGAAAAATTTCCCTATCATCTTCACTGGACCTAAGTCCTAACTTCACTGGACCGAAGTTCTAGAATATGTCATGAATGCAATGATGTGCAACAACATATTTAATACGATCACGACTAGTCAACACGCATCATCATTCATGATTTGTCATAAACATCATCATAAAATCATAGTAATCGACACAACATCATAACATCATCATAGTAATCAACACAATACCATAATATCACCATAGTAATCAACACAACATCATAACATCATCATAAACAAATCATCATCATAAACAAAACATCATTACGATTCAACGTGGGGAACCTAATTCTATTCTAACTTAGGTCTCAGAGATAAAAACTTTAAGTCTCATTTTTCTTCCCATAATTAAACTTCATTACGTTAGCTATCCAACACTTCGAATGACATATCAATCTAAGCTCTAGAACTAAAGTTATGACCATTTTAAGATTTCCAACTTGGACAACCCATTATGTCTTTCGTTGTCTAGCGACACACTTCCGTCACATGGAGACGCTACCTTCGCATCACACTTCGCCCGATGACACTAAGGGCGACACACTCTAGAAACTAGATCCAATCTGCTTCCCTTCGCTCCCACCTTCGCCCGACGAAGCTCTGTCACCCGGCAACACATCCTCTATCGCCCGACGATCTTGTGCGAACAAGGTTTTCCTGTTGTGATTTCCTGCCTAAACCAGACCAATTCTCTTGCAATTTTATCATGTTACAGGTGCTAAAATACCATCTAATCACAGGGTTTCATCATCTATCAATAACCTATAATTCTATGCTCAATATACATCAATTATAAACCATTATTCATCACAAATTCATCAATTTCTCATCAAACAACACCAACCACCATCTACCAAAACCTAAGGCAATCTACCATTCATTTAAACCTTAAATTAAATATAATAACAATGATAAAACTCCCTTTAACTTAAGATTATTGCTAGAG